ATTAAGCTTGAAATTCTGTATTACTAATATTAAATGAATCGATAAATTGAATTTGATCTGCATCACAATAATGCAATAAATATTAATTATGAATTCTTCTAATACTTATATAAGTTTTAAGATTAACCTAAATTTTGAAATTCAAGCATTTCAAAACTAGAATATACCGAATCTATGAATTTTTTTTGATATTTACTACATGTTTGAAAAAATGGAGAAGTTTTTAAAAATCCATAAAAATATACCTAAATCTTTTCCTACTTTTGTACACAATTCGAATATAATTTCACGCTAGTCGGTTAACAAGTTTTTCAAATTAATATCAACGGATTACGGAAATATTTGTAATAGACGATAATTCTTAATGATGCTAAAACGACTGTGTCGTAATTATTACGTACGAGTACGTACTACAAAAATAAATACTTTACAGATTATGAGAAAAAAATAAGCTTAATTATAATTCTGTAGTAATAAAACAGAATTTTTATTCATTTAGGAACAAGCGCAGAGCATTGGTTTTTCACCAGATGGTAATGTTATGGTAGTTGGATGCACTTCCGGAAAATGGTTAGCAATCGACAGTGAGACCCGAGAATTATATACTCATCATAGCGACGGATCAGAACCTATACAAGTAATATTTCTTATAATCATTTTATTTTCTATTATAACAAACTATATTTTATTAACAAATAATTATAATTAATTATGTAATCCATCTTCAGGTCGTTAGATTTTCACCAGATGGAACGCTATTAGCATTGGGTTCTAGAGATAACTATATTTATATTTATCAAGTAAACGAAGATGCAGTCAAATATAGTCGTGTTGGACGATGTATGGTAAGATTATTTTCTTTGTTATACAAATTTGTTTACTTAAGATAAGAAAATAAAATGAAAATTAACAAAAGGAATTAACAAAGTATAGTTGTATGTATATGTTGCATTAAAAATTCATTAATACATATGTATTAAATGAACATGTACATGTATCATTCTTACTAATATTTAAATGTTAAATATCTTACTAAATTTTTCAGACTATGAACTTTTATTTTATTATATATATTTTTTAATAACTATTACGATTATATTTTTTTAAATTTTTGTCACCAATGTAGTATTTATGAACATTTGAAAATATTTAAAACGATTTGAAAAGTTGTTATACAAATTGCTTTTATGTATGTACATATTAATATTTACTGTAATCTCATATTATTTGCATAAAATTCATACTTTGCGATGTTCATTCGATCATTGTTTCCAAATAATAACACATATCGTTTTATT